GTTAACCTAAAGACTTTTAAATAGTTCCTGCTGCTACCCCCAACCTAATGATCTTTGTGAAGATACTTCAATCTCTAAAAACTCCTCCAACCCACATACTTATAATCTTGAAGCTATTCTGAACAAAATTTCTTTTTTTTTTTTTTCCTTTTTGTCTTTTCTCATGTCCGGCAATGGATCGCAACCCTCAGTGTCGTGCCCGTACCAGACCGGGACCGGCAACGGGATCACACCCCTCGGTGTTGCACCCGCACCTCGCTCAGCCAGTGAGTGGGAACCGGTCTGTATGTAGGATCCGAACCCTCAGCGGGAGCGCCGCCGTGCTCCCAAGCGGCGCACTGTAGCAGGGCGCCACCGGGCCAGCCCTGAACAAAATTTCTAAGAGGAGAGAATTTAACTCAGAAGCCGGGGGCACAGTAACACTGGCCAGCGCCACTGCTGGCCGTCTCGGCTGTGGCTGGAGTGTGGCCTTGAGATGCACACGTGATGCAGAGTGCTGCGGCCACCATCCCCGTGCTTCCGGGACTCGGTCATTTTGTTGGTGTGACATTGGGTGAGCTCAACTAGTTTGAAATCACACCAGAATGAGAGGCTTAAAATAAAATCAGAATTTGCTAAATGGAAAATATATAGTGATGCTGGTTTCTGGCAAAGAAGCACCTGAAGTGGAAATAAGTTTTCTTGTCATAGGGCAGGACTTTAAAATATTTTTGCAGATAAACAACAACAACAACAAAAAAGAAAAATCATTCTTCATTCCACTACTCAGAGATAACAATTTTACTAAGTTATCTGTAGACCTTTCTGTATGGATTTAAATTCTTTAAATAGAAAAATTAGCTCAGTGAACACAATATTTTGTAGCCTGCTTTTTTGTTGTTTGTTTGTTTCTTTTTTGGCAGCTGGTATAGGGACCGAACCCTGGGCCTGGGTGTTATCAGTACCACGCTCTAACCAACGGTGCTAACTTGCCAGCCCCTTGTAGCCTGCTTTTTTTCATGTAATAAATTGTGGATGTGTAAACATATTAGGTCAGTGTATGATGATAATTTTAGGAAAGCAGCAGTGTAGTGGATTGAATTAAGTCCCCTCAACACTCACTGGAGCTTGAATTGTGTCCCCAAAGTTTTATGTATTAGAAGCTTGGCCCCCACTGTGACTGTTAAGAGGGTGGGAAATCCTAT